ACAAGAGAGAGATCGATCGTGATGCGATGTGATGCGATGTGATGCGCCGGATGTGATGCGGATGTGAGCGATGTGATGGCGATGTGATGCGATGGGATGCGATGGGATGCGATGGGATGCGCATTGGGATGCGATGGAATGCGATGGGCTGCGCATGGGATGCGAGGGATGCGCTGGATGCGAATGGATGGCGAATGGATGCGGATGGATGCGATGGGATGCGATGGGATGCGATGGGTATGCGATGGGATGCGATGGAGCGATGCGGGCAATGCGATGGGAATGCGATGGATGCGAAGGGATCGCGATGGGATGCGATGGGATGCCGTTGCGATGCGATGCGATGCGACTGCGATTCGCGATGGGCGATGCGATGCGATGCGATGCGATGCGATGCGACTGTACTATGAAAGATGTGCACGCAGCAAATGTTCACGTTAATTTGTAAAGTTTGTATATTTTGTAAAGTTGTTAAGTTCTGTAATGTTAAGTTACTGTATTCTGCCACCAAGCTTTCAAACTTTTTTGCAGAATTATTAATAAATCTAATCATCTAATCTAATAACCTAATAATAACAATATTGTACGCTGCAGTAGTTGCTGGTCGTAAACATCGACAAATTTGTACGAGAGCTTCTATTCCGTCTAGTTTGGCTGCTAACCTACAATCCTGGATAGCAAAAGTTAAAATTTTACTACTGACGGGAAAGTTGCATGTGTATAGTGTGCATCAACTTGTGCTCTCCGAATTATTTTTAAAACGTTTGTACTTTTAAACCAAATTGTTAAGGCAATTTCTGTAGATGCAATTTTTGTATTCGGTAAATGAGTTTCATAATTAATGTACTTTAACATTACACATTATATCCTATTTTACATATTTATTACATATTCCTACTGTTTTATTTACAGGTTTATGTACATATTTTGACGTTTGATACTACATATTTCTCCGGTCTCTACCTATAAGGGTGTTTAAACTTTACGTGGATGAATATATCATTCATTGTGCAGAATTGACATTTGTTTTCCTGAGGTTATCCCGATTACTAGTTTACTCTAGATAGTTTTTTCCTGCTTATCATTCTGCTTGCTTGTCTATTCCTTCAATGCTATTTCTAAATAAGATATTTCTTACAGATTTAGTTGTAGTGATACGGTAGTTATTGCTCTCGTGTTCAAGACGCAAAACTATCTTACACTTTTTTCTTCTTTCTGTTTTGTCAGGGACTTTTTCTCTTTCTCTCTTCCTTCAATCTTTCACTTTCTTTTGCGTCTCCTTTTACGTATGGAGGGTTTTTCATTGCCTAGACGTTATCGCATACGACATTCACTGAACAAAGCGATTGTTTTTCCTTTTTGGTGTTTCGGGCAGTCTATTTATGTTGGAACATTCGAATGTCTCAGCGAACTATTTCTGAGAATGTCAATTGAAGACGGTATTCTTCTTGGCTGTTGCGGTTCACACTCTGGCGCTGTATTAACCCATTAGTGCTTGGAGGTGCCAATGACTATTGCACATCTACTGGCCGTTGATCTGGCTGTTCAGAATGTTTTTCCGTATTGGGATGCACGGCCAGACCACCTAAATCTGAATCAACTTCTACTTCCTCTGAAAATTTTTCATACAACTTGTACAAAACGAAGAACTCCTCGCTCTGTTCTTCTTCCAGTACTTTCTTAATATTATTGAACTTTGAAACTCTCTCTTCTCTAACAATATCGCAGAATGTTTCATGTGCAGGTTGGAGAATTCCTGCGGCGTTCGGATACAGTGCTATTAAAATTATTTTTAATTCAAAAAAGAGCTCACTCATCTGAAAATGAAAGTGACTTTTGTGACCATCCATGAAAAAAAGAGAGATTTCCTAGTAAAGAACAGTCCAAACCAAAAGTTAGTATGCTGAGTTCACTTGAACGAAGGGAAGAAGCCTCAATTTACATCAGTAACATATAAAAAATTTAATTGTTCATTGTGAGAACTTCGTTGTCTTCAGAGCGTCTTCATACCTCAAAATCAGTGAAATTTAATAATCTGAAATGGTTTTAGTCAATAATGTCGTTTTTCTTTGCTTTTGGGGCATTTTAAGATCATTTTATTGATAATTTTGGCGTTGTTTTAGGTCATGAAAATCTGCCCCCTTCAGATAAATCTGTCCCCAGAACGTTTAGTGAGACAGTAATGGGCATGTACAAACTTCAGTGATGGGCACAGTGTCCATTACTGTTGAAAATCGTTCTAAACATATATTTTCGCTTACCAAGAGAAAAAAAGGTTTGAAAATTCAAAATTAACATTACAGCAATGCATAAAAAATAAGTTCCTCAAATTACAGTAATGGGAACCCCATGCCCATTATTGTCATGCACGTCAGAAATATTTACAGTTATGGGAACTACATTTTTTTGGTAATAGTCTGCTCAGAGAAGGTGAAAACATATATGAAAACGTAGATTATAAACCTGGCTACACTACGCATAGAGCGGAGTGCAAATATAAACACATTGATTTAAATCGTTAATAACTGGCTGGACCCCCCCCCCCCGCGCTGACGAATCCCCGACATTTCATGCACAGACGACACGTGGAGCACACCACCAACTACTTAAGTATACCTACTGGAGGCTGCATTCAAGGACAAAACTGCATTCTGTCTTTCTCGTATCTGTGAGTCATTCTCGCTGACCCAAGAAGGAAAAAGGGACGCGAAAGGGAAACCGCTCAGCCAAGGCTGAGAGAGTGCATTGGCGAAAGAGATCCTTTTTCTCTTCGGGGAATAGAGGCAGGATACAGAGGGGGGACAACTGCTCCCCCTAGCTTGGGACAAATTTAAAATAT